ATATTTCTTTTACAGGTGGTGTAGGTTTTTATTCCAAACCGAAAATGAAAAGTTAGGCCTAAATTGGAGATGTCAATATTATGGGGAAGCTACAATACAACTATTATATGGGCAATAGTTTAATTCTTTAATATGTAACTTAAAATGTTCAGGGAATGACATTTCTTCCTAAAAGAGTTTCCAAGACAGAATTTCAGCTGATGACAAAAAACATGCAACTATGAATAAACACTGTTAATCGTTCTAGAATTATTTTAAGAAAAAGAAAGCAGGACCAGAAGTTGTGGCAAGGGGGAAAAAATCATACTTAAAAAAAATAGGGGGCAGGGGAGGTAGAGTCCAGAAACTATAGACTGATAAAATATTGTTTCCCAGGAAGATTATAAAATGAATTATTAAATAGATGGCTTATAAACAACTAGCAAGTAATGCAGTGATCTATAAACACTAGCATAAGAAAGGTAAATAGTAACTAACGTCTAACTTCATTTTCTTTTTTGAGAGAGTCACTAGCCTAGTTCAGGGATATGTGAGAGACAAAATATATTTAGATTTCCACAGGACACCTCTTAATACTTCAAAGGAAATATAGGTTAGATGATAAAACAGTAGGTGGATTCATAACTGAATTTTACTCAAAAGGTTGATTAATGGATTAATATTAACCTAATGATAGTGTGCTGATGTTGTATAGCATTGCTCCACCCTTATATATAGACTGATAAAATATTATCTTATTTTAATATCTAAATATCTAAACTTATGTATTTTTACCAGTGACCTACAACAAAACCATAGGTGTCACGTTTATCAAGTCTGTCTATCAATAATACAAAGATATGAGAAATGGCCAAGAGGCTAAATAAATTATCAAGCTAAAACAATAAACCAAAACTAACAAGATGACAATTATAGGGATCAATGTAAAATCATCAATTACATTTAAAAAATCAACTACACAAATTAATGTGACCTTAGGTTTTAAGACTAAAGGTATAGGGGCCTGCCCGGTGGCGTAGTGGTTAAGTTCGCCAGCTCCACTTCAGGGGCCCAGGGTTTGCAGGTTCGGATCCCAGGTGCAGAACTACGCACCGCTTGTCTAGCCATGCTGTGGCAGCAGCCCATATACAAAATAGAGGAAGATAGGCACAGATGTTAGCTCAGGGCTAATCTTCCTCTTTTTGCTGAGGAAGATTAGCAATGGATGTTAGCTCAGGGCCCATCTTCCTCACCAAAAAAAAAAAAAAAAAAGGAATAGAGGCATAAAGAAAGAGGCCAGGGCCGGCCCCATGGCTTAGCGGTTAAGTGCGCGCTCCGCTACTGGTGGCCAGGTTCGGAGCCGGGCGTGCACCGACGCACCGCTTCTCCAGCCATGCTGAGGCCGCGTCCCACATACAGCAACTCGAAGGATGTGCAACTATGACATACAACTATCTACTGGGGCTTTGGGGGGGTAAAAAAAAAAGGAGGAAGATTGGCAAGAGATCTTAGCTCAGGGCTGGTCTTCCTCAGCAAAAAGAGGAGGATTAGCATGGATGTTAGCTCAGGGCTGATCTTCCTCACAAAAAAAAAAAAAAGAAAAGAAAAGAAAAAGAAAGAGGCCATACTCTCCCTATACTTTGTACTGATCAGATTATATCTGAGATGTTATATTCAGATCTAGATAAGAAACCCTAAAAACTCAGGCAACTAAGTTGATGAGGACACTTAAAAATGTCATTTAAGGAATGGTTGAAAGAACTGGGGATATTTACCCCAGTAAGAGAAGCCTTAACAAGACATAACTGTCATCAAATATTTGATGGGCTAACATGTTGACAAGGAATTAGGTTTATTTATTGTAGCTTCAGATGGCAGAACTAAAGAGCTTCAGCACAATGTAAAGAATGTTCTAAAAGTAGAGCTCCAATAATGGAACAGGGTATCTGTGAAGTCGGGACCTCTTCTTAACAGCATTTGGAAGTTAAAATACCACCCATCAGGGATTCCAAATATGATGCATGGGCAGATTTCATGAATATACTTGATCCCAAAAGAAGCCTGTTAGAGGAAGGCAACATAAAAAAATGAGAAGCTTTAAAAATTGTTTTCTTTGACATGTTTCTACAGAGATGGAAGACTTTCACAAACTTTAAAATCATAGTACCCTTTCTCAGAGAAACCAACAACAAAAGAAATTAAAGCGTTTTCTTTTTAAATGAATGCTACATTTGTTTTTCTCAAAGAAACATCTACACCTTAACTTTGGTACCTTTATCAAGGGACAAGGGACAATTATATGCCAGCCTGCCAACTAGTCTCAAGAAGAGAGTTGTCTTTATTAGACATTTACATGGCAATGCTATTTGCTTCACCTGAAACTTCCGTGAAAGGAAAAGGCTCCGCCTCATTAGACGTGGATAGGAGGCTGCTGTAACACCGACTCGCTCCTACTGCAGCCTAGGAAAAACTGTCTTGACATGTACAAAACAATAACTTAGAGAACTTCAGAGCAGCTGTGTTCAGGCAGAGCCAGGGACTTTACTTGAGGCAGAACAGTAGCGCAAGAGTTGGTTGAAAAAACAGTTTTCATTTTGGGTTGGAAGTGGGGAGAGGAAAGAAATACAGTAATGGTATCTGTTAACATTTAAAAGCCATGGTAAACAAAAATGCTTAAAAATTACAACAAAAACTATCACAGGATGTAACCTTTGATCCACAAGTTTAAAGATGAGCAATGTTATCACTCTCTAGCTTTCTGCTGGGTGTTAACACTAATGAGAAAAAAAAATCTTGCATTTAATAGTGCCCAAGTTTAAGCCATCACAAATTCTAGGACGGAAGAATAAAACATGGGACTTTGCTCTCTCATTGGATATTTTTTTTTGTGCTGCTGCCAGGCAAATTGTGAAAATGTCTGAATGTCCAACGGCAATGCTCTGAATGCGAAATAGTGGAACCCAATTCAGTAACTAATGCTAAAGGGTCAATAATTAATTGGTCTCAATGTGCTGTAGGGGCAACTTCCCGGCCAGGAGGAAAAGCTTCAAACAGCGGCTGAAAACCAAAGGTTAATACAGAGCAATACTCTGCTGTCTTTCACATAGCAGCTTTACCAGTATCTCAGACACTATCTTGCTTCTCAAAAGTTAAAAGGAGAAGAGAAGGAATGTACAACACAAATCTATGCAATAGCAAAGAAGTTATTACTTAATTGGCTGTATTAGTTCAATTCATTATTAAATAATACACAACTGTCAAACAAAGAGGAAAGGCTTGTCCCCTTTCTGTACAGAATTAAGAACTGGTAAAACTACTTAGTACAGCTGCCAAATTTTTCTTTAGCTTCTTTTCTTACAGATACGTCACATTTCGCAATAGTCTCCACTTACCTTACATCCTCCATGTTTAAGTACAAATTGTGTTTGATTTCCCCAACTCTTGCCCTAAGATATTATGACATATCTTTAGCTTCTGAGTCTGGACACAAAGGAAGAAACTGAAAATTTTTCACTTTCCTGAAATATGTGTCCATTTTCTTTACACCATTAAAAAATATATAAGCTAACTAAAACTAACTGCAACCCTTCATTTAACAACTCTTCAAGTATATGAGCGGGTAAGACACACATTTAACAAAACAAACTTCAGTTTAGTGTACTTTTCTGTGCTTAGAATACCTATAAAGACCGATGTCTCTACAAGAAGTACTTAACACTACTGCAACATTTTTAAACATAGGAATCAAGTGAGTTTGCCGAGAAAACGCTGCATACCCCCACAAACCTACACTTATTATGACACAACCCTCAGAGATACTAAAACACCCTCTGTGAAGTAGAAAACAAACTTTTAAAGTTAGGAAAGGAGCAATGCGGGAACTGGGTAGGAGGTTCCCTGGGTAGTAAACACCCCAGCCAGAGAACATAACAAGCAATTCAGAGCAACATATAACTCCCCATGGGGCTCCAACTTGGACCGCTTACTCCCAAACCCCTATCCCTGAGTTCAGGAAGAAATGAAGTGTGGGAAGAGGAAGAGAGAAAGGAAATCAGAGTAGAAGTGATGAAAGTGTTCTATTTCCCTCCTTCTCTACCCCTATCCCAGCAAGACTTGCAGGCTAGTCACCAGACTCGGTGCCATATCCACCAAAAGCCCTAAATCAATAACTCAGGCTTCTTCCGACACCTAGGCTAAAGACCTGTATATATCAGCCGTCTCCGTTCCAAACACTTCCCTTAACCCTCTGAATTCCCCCATAACCTTCCCAAAGCGATGCCTTTTGGTTACTAAACCCATCCCTATAGATCTTTCTAAACTCATTCACTTAATTTTCTCCAAATCTGCACTTTCTCTCTGATATCATGTCCCTGATACTCCTTTTCAGAATTCAATCGAAATGCCATGACTCTCATTTCCAATGATTTACCCCTATCTTTCCAGACAAACCCAATGCCATGTTTTCACCTCCTCATCCCTATCTCCTCCTAGTACCTCTGCCCCTGCCAATGCCAAGCCCCTAACCCCACTCTGTGAGAAGCCCTGGGTCTGCAGCCAGTTTAGCACTTCTCCCCTTTCTCCCATGCCACCCCAGTCCAAGATCCTTCCATTAGATTCCACTAGACTTCCATTCCCTCCGGATTCAACTCCCCTCTCCTTGCCACGCCCTGTGCCCCCCGGGGCTACTTACCCCAAGTTCTCCCCACACTTCAGGCCTCTGGCCCCGCCTTCCCCCCAAAGGAAGGAGGCGGGAGGAGGGAGAGAAAAGGGGCGGCACCCCGCAAGGTAAAGACGATCTCCCATTAGTGCCCATCGCCGCCAATCGTAGCTTCCTTCTCGCTTATTGGTCGGCTTAAGTCCTTGCCCCACCTCCTTCCTCAGCCAGGGCCCGGCCACCGCCTCAGCGCCCCCGTCCAACACAGACTGGGAGGGGAGACCCCGGCCTGGGAGGCTGGGACTGGCCAGAGTTGAAGAGGAGACTCCCGTCAGATCATGGACTAGTTAATGTTAACAAGACTCACCCGCTGGTAGCTCCGTCGCCTCCCGCCCGCCCGCGATCGGTCCCACAATCTGTCTCCAGCTCCTTCTTTCCCCCCTCAGCGGAGCAGATACTTTCCTCTCGTCCGGCCAGGCTCGCTCACCTCTCGCGAGATGTGGGGGGGCGTGGAGGAAGGGCTAGATCCGTAGGGCCAGAGTTGGAAAGGGGCCGAGGGGCGGGGCTCCGGGGAAAAGAAGGGGCTGGCCTTTCGGTGGGCAGGGCTGTGGAGGGAGGCTGAGCGAGTTCGGTACACACAGGTCACACGTGTTCCTCTGCGTAATACGGCAAAAAGAAAAGAAAAAGGAACGGGAATCCTTACAGGTGCCTGTAGTAGTGGAGATCCAAAAGGTGAAGTAAATATTCTAGGGAATGAGATTATCTCAAACGAGCGTACTTTAAAAACGAGACAAGATTATACCTCTGTAAAGCTGTTTTTAAAAAAAGTGGGGGAGGTCCGGCCCCGTGGCTTAGCGGTTAAGTGCACGTGCTCCGCTGCTGGCGGCCCTGGGGTCGGATCCCGGGCCCGCACCGTCGCACCACTTCTCCCGCCATGCTGAGGCCGCGTCCCACATACAGCAACTAGAAGGATGTGCAGCTATGACATACAACTATCTACTGGAGCTTTGGGGGAAAAATAAATAAATAAAATTAAAAAAAAAAAAAAAAGTGGGGGAAAAACCCTAGGCAGGCACACAAAGGGATTCAGGGTTCCAAACAGTCGAGCAGTTGCATTTTCTTCTTTGCACTTAAAGTAACATCACTGTGGCCATAATGTCTGCTGTGTGTGTGACTGCGTAAGGGGGTAGGGGTGGGGGTGCTAAGGGTTCAACCTCAGGGGCTGGCGACTTTTTAAAAAATGTACAGGTTGTTTCCACTATCCTCGAGTCATCACTTCCTTAATGGCAAAGTAGTTTGCAATGCCCTCCGCCCTAGAAGAGGAGTGAATGTATTGGAAACAGCAAGCCCCCTGCACAGCAATGCCATCTCTGTCATTTTCCAACCCAGTGGCGTTGGGTGAGATGCTTCTCTGAGTCTCATTACAATGGGGCTAGCAGTCCCATTGTACTCAAAGAGTTGTAATGATCAAATGAGATAATATTTATGAAACTGCTTGGGAATTAAAAGGCACTATATTTATTACTCAGCAAATATTTCAACAAATACTTAAAATTTGTCAGGACATACTGTGTGCAAAGCACTGTTCTAGGCATGGGGAGAAGAACAGACAGACTAGGTCCCTGCTCTGGTGGAATTTATACTTTAGTGGGGAGAGGAAAACAGTTAATGAGCCAATAAACACTAATATTTCAGTTAATGAAGAGCGCTTCAGGGTAAAGAGACAGAAAGTGACCAGGAGTGGGAAAGCGACTTTTTTTACTCCTGGTCTTGAGAGGCCTCTTTGAAGAAGTAACCTTTGAACCAGGAGTTGAACTATGAGAAGGGGATAGCCTTGGGAAGATTTTGGGTGAAACATCAAATGCTAAGACTGTATTAAAAAATTTCTCCGGGCTGCCTCCTGGCATAGTGTTAAGTTCCCAACCAGCGCTCCGCTTCCGCGCCCGGGTTGGCTGCCGGATCCCAGGCAGGGACCCACACACCGCTCATCAAGCCATGCTGTTCCAGCGTTCCACATATATAATAGAGGAAGATTGGCACAGATGTTAGCTCAGAGACAATCCTCCTCAAGCAAAAAGAGGAAGATTGGCAACAGATGTTAGCTCAGGGCCAATCTTCCTCACCAAAAAAAAAAAATTTTCTCATATGGTTACCAAGATGGTAAATTTTATGTTATGTGGGATTTACCACTAAAATTATCATAATTAAAAATTTATGATGGGGCCGCCCGGTGGCGCAAGCGGTTAGGTGGGCCCGCTCCCCTGCAGCGGCCCGGGTTTTGCAGGTTGGGATCCTGGGTGCACACGGAGGCACTGCTTGTAGAGCCATGCTGTGGAGGCGTCCCATATAAAATAAAGGAAGATGGGCACGGATGTTAGCCCAGGGCCAATGTTCCTCAGCAAAAAAAGAGGAGGATTGGCATCAGATGTTAGCTCAGTGCTCATCTTCCTCACACACACACATACACAAATTGTGATAATTAAAAGATTATCATAATTATAAGGAGAGTTAACTCAAAATATTACCTATGGAACCTCTTTTCTTTCAGGTAACTTCCTTCTGCAGCTTTATATTACTCAGCTTTCTGAACTTCCTGCCTAGGATGTCACCTCTCCTCATAGCATCCTCGCAAAGGTAGAAGAATCCAGGTGATTTCTCACTAGGTAGCAAAGGTAAAACAGAAGCATAGAATCACTTATACTCTTGTGAAGTGAATTGAGAAAAGTTGAGAGGAGTCTTGGCTTCCAATCTACTCTCCCTTAAAACAATTCCTACTTAAAAGAATACAATGATAAAACAGACCCTCAATATACAGCGTATATGGGAGATTTGTATATAACAGAGGTGGCATTAATCAGAGAGCAAGGGATTCTACAAATTGTGCTAGGAGAACTATTACTCTATACGTACAAAATAATAAATATATTAGCTAACATTTATAGATCTTACTATGTTCCAGGCACCATCTTAAGTATTTTACATGTGTTAATTCATTTTTCCCCAAATTTATATCTTCAACCCATACCTCACCTCTGAACTCCAAGCTAAGATCTCCAACTGCCTACTTAACAAATCCAGTTGGATGTCTAATCGGTATTTCAAATTTACTATGTCCGAAACAAATTCTTCCTTTCTCTCCTACATATCTCCCTTCCCCAGTCTTCTCTATCTTAGTAAAAGGTACTTTCATTGTTCCAGTTGTATTTTTTTAATTGAGATATAATTCACATACCATAAAATTCACCTTTTAAAGAGCATAATTCAGTGATTTTTAGTATATTCACAAAGTTATGCAACTATCACCAATATCTAATTCCAGAACATTTTCGTCACCCCAAAAGAAACCCCATACTCACTAGCAGTCACTCCCCATTTACGCCCCCACAACCCGTGAGTCTACTTTCTGTCTCTGTGGATTTGCCTGTTATAGACATTTTATATAAATGAAATAATATAATATGTGGCCTTTTGTGTCTTGCTTCTTTCACTTAGCATAATGTTTTCAAGGTTCCTTCATGTTGTAACGTGTATCAGTACTTTATTCCTTTTATGGCTGAATAATATTCCATTGAATGGGTATACCAATTTTTATTTATACGTTCATAAGTTCATGGACGTTTGAGTTCTTCCCACTTTTAGGCTATAATGAATAATGTTACTTTGAAAAAGTTTTTATGTGGACTTTGTTTTCAATTCTCAAGATATATACTGAGGAATGGAATTGCTGAGTCTTATGGTAAGTCTGTGTTTAACTTTTTGAGAAACTGCCAAACTGTTTTCCAAAGCAGCTGCATCATTTTACATTCCCACCAGCAGTGGATGAAGTTTCCAATTTTTCCACATCCTCACACCAACACTTTTATTTTTCATCTTTCGGATTCTAGCCATGCTAGTGGGTTTGAAGTGGTATCTCATTGTGGCTTTGATTTACATTTCCCTAATGACTAATAATGTTGAACATCACATCATGTAGCTTATTGGCCATTTATACATCTTCTTTGGAGAAATGTCTATTCAAATCATTTGCCCATTTTGTAATTGGCTTATTTGTCTTTCTGTTATTGAGTTGTAACAGTACTTTATGTATTCTAGATACTAGACTCCTATCAGATATATGATTTGCAAATATTTTTTCCTATTCTTTGAGTTGTCTTTTCACTTTCTGATAGTGTCTTTTGTTTTTTGTTTTTTTTTTTTAAAGATTTTATTTATTATTTTTTCCCCCCAAAGCCCCAGTCGATAGTGGTGTGTCATAGCTGCACATCCTTCTAGTTGCTGTATGTGGGACGCGGCCTCAGCATGGCCGGAGAAGCAGCGCGTCGGTGCGAGCCCGGGATCCGAACCCGGGTCGCCAGCAGTGGAGCGCGCTCACTTAACCACCAAGCCACGGGGCCGGCCCTTGATAGTGTCTTTTGTAATTTT